TAGTAATAGTAGTAGTCGTCGTCGTCGTAGTAGTAGGAATAGTAGTAGTAGTAGTAGTAGTAGTAGTAGTAGTAGTAGTAGTAGTAGCTGTAGTAGTCGTAGTTGTAGTAGTAGCAGTAGTAGTAGTAGTAGTAGTAGTAGTAGTAGTGGTAGTAGTAGTAGCAGTAGTAGTACATTTAGTAGAAGTCGTGGAAGTAGTAGTGGTAGTGGTAGTAGTTGTAGTAGTCGTAGTGGTCGTAGTAGTAGTAGTAGTAGTAGTAGTAGTAGTAGTAGTAGTAGTAGTAGTAGTAGTAGTAGTAGTAGTAGTAGTAGTAGTAGTAGTAGTAGTACTAGTAGTAGTAGTAGTAGTAGTAGTAGTAGTAGTAGTAGTAGTAGTAGTAGTAGTAGTAGTAGTAGTAGTAGTAGTAGTAGTAGTAGTAGTAGTAGTAGTAGTAGTAGTAGTAGTAGTAGTAGTAGTAGTAGTAGTAGTAGTAGTAGTAGTAGTAGTAGTAGTAGTAGTAGTAGTAGTAGTAGTAGTAGTAGTAGTAGTAGAAGTCGTAGTAGTAGTAGTAGTAGTAGTAGTAGTAGTAGTAGTAGTAGTAGTAGTAGTAGTAGTAGTAGTAGTAGTAGTAATCGTAGCAGGGGTAGTAGTATTTGTAGTAATAGTAGCAGTAGTACTTTAAGGGTAGCTCAGTGGGGGATGTTATATATAATCGGGAGTATAGCTCGCGTGCCGTTGCCTTTGGCTCAAGGCACGCGCGCCCTATTTGCCCGGACACTGCGAGTGTCCGCTATGTGCTGGAAAGATCATTACATCGATCTTATCCCATCTTATCCGTCCATTCCTCTTACTGAACAATCTCAGTACGATACCGGACGCTATTTGCCATCCGCTTCCCATGGGATCGGATGCTATTCGACTTACCATAGTCACTTCAGACTTGGTAGTACGGGACGCTGGCTTCGCGGATGCTCTTACCATAGTCACTTCAGACTTGGTAGCGGAGCTGGCCGCACTCTCGTGTGGTCAGCTCTTGCTCTTCTTATCCTCACGCTATACGGCACGATCTTCGTGTCCAACTACCACCCTGCGCCACCACTCCCAGTACATTTACGAGGATCAATTCAAGAGCAAGAAGCAATACGAGAGGTACGACGTCTAGACAACAACACTGGTACCATATACGCTTCATCACTGCGTTACTACCAACCGCTCGGCAACGAGCCAAAAGCGCAGTACTTGAAGCATAGCCGGGGAGACCCGCAAGATAAAGCGCCTCGAAGACTTGACAAGGCGCTACCCCAGCGCGGCAACGCGCCTAATAACCACCCCTATCTGCACAGCCTTGGGCCTGTTATCTTCGCCATCATATGGTTCGCGCTGGGGGCAGCAATCGGACACATGCGCCGTGGAGATAACAGCACCGATGGGCAAACACATGGCCCATACTGGGACCCTCAAGGCAACGTACCTTTCCGCGAGTACGTTTATGAGGTCAACGCGTGGCTCAACGTCACAAGCGGACGTATGACGCCACAGGCCCAAGCGGCCGCCATGCAGCGCGGTCTGGGTGGCCTAGCGAGGACACTCGCCATGAGGATACCACCTGACATTATAAATTACGGTGCGGACATCGATGGTGTCCACACCGACCCAGCAACCTACATTATGTTCCTCCGAAGCATGAAGTTCGAGCGCATGGAAGATGAGCGCCAGCTCACTTCAGGCACGCAGCTCATCGACTTTCATGTGCCTCACGGAGAACGAATCGACGTCACCCTCACCCGATTCGAGATGGCCCGACTTGAGGCACAGTTGGTGGGATTTGACCTTCCCAGTTTCCAACTGCTAACTACTATCGTATTCCGCGCCCTAGGCGTTGGCAGCCAGCGAGCCATGCAACTCTTACAGCCACTCAACCACCAAATGCCCCGAACACAACAACAGTATGATGAGCTGCTGGAAAGGATGCGTTCGATAGGCCATCTGTCAGAACGATCTCCTGGTAACATAGGATCAGTGTTTGGAAGGGGGAGGGGATCTGGTAGTGGGAATTTCTACACTACCTTAACCACTGAAGCCCAGCCTGGAAACGGGCCCTCAAGCATATGGGCCGACGATCCTGGAGAGTCTACTGCCCTACTTGCAGGGGATCGATCGCAACCAAGCTGGGCAACCAGCCCTCCTCCTAGAGAACCTCAACCACACCGCTCCTTATGGGGTGAAGCGAACCCCCTAACCGACGGTGTATCCACCTACCTGGGAGACGACGATTTCGACTCCGGCACCGACACCGATACAATATCATCAGACGGTGTTGAACCTTTAGATTGATCAGATAGCATGATCATGGAAAGTGACATTCAGCGTGCCGAACCGAACACTTGTTTTGGTCATTACAACGGGCAAAGCGGAGGTGGAGGAGGTTCACACGAAAACCAGTGCGTCGTGTTAGGAGGAGGATACAGAGGAGTTTCAAAGGAAAGGGTAAAGGCAAACGGCGTCGTCGTAGGTTGAATGGAGGAGGCATCACGGCCTTCCTCCAGAGGCTCTCAGATGACCAGTCCGATGAGATATTTTTCGGGGGAAAAGGCCGTGGCAAAGGCCGTGGAGATACCTCAGGCAAAGGCAAAGGTTGGCGGGGAAGCCCGCGAGGTAGAGACGGCCAGATCCTAAAGTGCCATGAGTGTGATAGTACCGACCATCTCGTGAAATATTGTCCAGCGAAGGGAAATGGAAAGGGCAGATCAACCGAAGTCCATCCCGGCTCAAGTGAACCAGTTATTGAATATCGGAGCCTCCAAGAATTTGAGGCCATGGAGCAGATATTTTTCACTTGGGTCAGCAGCATGGACAGTTTGGATGAGATCGAAGCGTGCGGCCATGGACTGTACGCGTACTACCTCGAGTACCTCCGCAGGTTTGTCGTCGGCAACTTCGAGCTGGCGCCTGTGAAACATGGAACGCTGGGAAACCAGCCTTTATCCTTCTTTGATTGGATGTTCGGCAATCCAGGCAACATCATGGCCTACGAGAGCAGTGAAGAAGATGACACTGTTCAAGCCTCGCCTTCAGAGGTTCATCGCAACCTCCAACCTCAGCCCGACCTCATGCCTGGAAACAGGCCTACCCCTACATATCCTC